GCTTTTCAGCAATGGTTTTTATTGGATTTGCATGGCTTACGATGTTTTTGGACAATGGTGACTTTAGCTGATAATGGATAGCTAGTATTCTAATGACGGCTATGTATAGCGTTGTAGTGATGAAAATGCCACAAAAAGGCATCTACATGTATAAAAAAGGTTCGTGGTTCGAAAACCATAATTTGACTTCAGATAAAATTGTGTATGTTACTTATTTTTGCGTGTTTTACTGAAACCCAACATTTACTTGTCACGATTTGGAAGTTTGCCCCAAAAAACACCGATTGCTATAACTTTTCGAAGGAAGTGTGTACAGAAATTGTATGTGAAAAATGAAAACAACATAAAAGATGGAGAAGGTGTGTTTGTCGAAAAAGACGAAAGAAATTTGGCGAGAGAAAGTCCGACAAAGGAATTATGGATTCTTGAATGCATTGCAATGGATTCCTAGAAGTCATTTATATATGTACAGTAGAAAATAAAGCTGTAAATAATCTAGTTGAAATTATCAAAAGCAACATCAGACCAGGATATAGAATTATAAGTATTGCTGGGAAGTTTATTGTTTCCTAAACGAGGAAGGCTCTCGTCACTGAACGGTGAATCACTTTGAGAATTTCATAGAGCCAAACTCCGAAACCTATACAAATGCCGTAGCGCCAACGTGGAGAGCATTGAAAAAAACTGAATAATGTATGAAGAAATTATTCCTAAATGGCGCACCTGATAAAATTTCTAAAATTCTGTGATCTTATTAAGGAATATTATAATCTACTTCTGTCAAGACCAAAGCTTTTTTTGAGTCCGTCCATTGATAAACTCCGGTCGATGCTGTGTGAAAAAACCATGGTTTCCCTTTACAGAATTATCAAATATCAATATCAGTTTAGATGACTTCCAGTAATTAGTAAGTAGGCTAACTGTTATTTATTTGGGTTTGCCCCCCCCCCCCCCCCCCAAAAAAAAAAAAAAAAAACCCGCTTTTGAAATGTCTACTCTGTCCAGAGCAAGAATCAAACTGGTGGATAGTTTTTCAGTGCTTAGCAACGGACTTCTCGGTCACGTTAAGGCACCTGTCATGCGCATTACAGAGACTTCCGAGGATCAGAACTACCCCATATGAGAATACCTCGGCAGAAATGAGTTGTATTCTCGTGGATTATCTGGACGTGTAGACACAGGAACTGTTTGAGATAGGTAAACTTCAAATTCTTATTTTATAATATTGGAACCAGTGCCTTAACCTAGACAAATGGGTTGTGCTTCAGAGTGATACATTTGCTACGTGAAGCGTCGAAATATGCAGCTAACTTTACACGGCAGAAGCGGAAGGTAATTATGACAGAGTGCATTTAATGATGACAATGAAAAAGATCACCGAATCTGAGAAAGCGAGAGAATGACATTCTGGACCAAACATAAGGCAGACGACCACTAAGTACAGGATTCGTGTCTGATCTCAACAATCACTTGAGACACCAATCTGTACTAGATTGAAATTCAAATCTTGTTAACAGATTCATCATCCTAATAAAGGGTAATGTGACAGGATTCATCTTCTAATAAAGCTGGTAGAGATTCTTCAGTGGATGTAGGGACGACAGGGTCTGATACGATGGAACTGGCAGTAAATCATAGTTCATGACATCTCGTTTCTGATACTAAACATGGCAAACCTGCCTCCTCGTTGCCATGGATGCTGACCAAGCGTCAATCTAATATCTGAAATAAAATCAATTTTTCCGGAAAATTTATGGTCGAGGATTGTCTTGATTACTGTTATATGGTTGTTTAGTGTTGTTTGGCATTACCTGAACTATCGTTAAATGTAACTGAAAGATTATGAACACACGTCATCAAAAGAACAAAAATAGATTTCGCTCATCAGTCCAGCCACTGGTACAAGAAACAATATAATTTGTGACACATTTGTAATGAACAATCAAAATTCACCTTACGAAGCTTTTTTAACGATGATATTGTCTGTGTTCCAGGATATAGAAATTGTAGCTGTCACATTTGCAATGAGCCTCCGCTAAAAAACCGAGGACACGTTTCATTCTACGATCTAGGGAATTGGCTCATTATTTACACTATTTTGGATTTAAAAAAAGAAAAATGTTATTCATATTAGATAAGCATATATAATGTACCATGCAGTTGTTTTCATCGTTCTTTGAATAGTACGTGATAATAGAAGATGGAAAGTTAAAATGAAAACGACCAGTACCAGTACCATTTGATACATCTGTCACCACTGGAGCCTCGTACAAACCAGCAGTACAAATTTTCAAAAAAACACCATACATAGGCATTTAAGTAGAAATGCACGCGCAAAATTTAAGATTTAATTTAAGAACTTAATTTAAAAACGGTGAGAATTGAGCAAATTCAGCATTGATGAACGAGACATGTAGGGTACGTATAGGTAGTCTTAATAGGTGACATAATATTGAGTGTTAAAATGAAGTTCAGGCGAAATTTGGAATGCGTGCTTATATCAAGGCTCGCTATTTCAAATATATACCCAAAACGGATAGGTGCCAGGGCATTTCTGCCGTATCCTTAAGAGCTGATTTCAGGTAGGTCAGGAAAATTTAAGATCGGTAAAATTGTTGTGTAAGGGGAAACATAGGTCGGGCGGGCATATTGTTTCAGCATCAAAGAAGAACATTGCTATTGCAGTTGAGAAAGATGATCGTTACACGAATTCCGAGACAACTCGTATAGTTGACAATCCAGGCGACTGCGCACACTACATCCTAACCAAGAGTTTAAACATCTAAGAGATTCCGATAGATCCTCCATTAGATGACATCTGAACAATAGACATAGCGTTTCAAGCGTACTAAAGACAATCTAAAAGGTTTGGTAGGCCGAGACAACATAACGTATATAAGGCGAGACCTAGACATACTAATTTGATCCTTAAAGGCGCATAAATAATCGACAAAGGTTGACGAAAAATGAAGAAAGGCTTGAGATTGTATAACGAACGCAAAAAAAGTCTTCTTTAAAATTCTGGTGGGCCAGTTGTTCAGATTTCGTGCAAGGAAGAGAAAACTGTCGATGCAAAGTTTTATATAGCTGTATTACTTAACATAAACAACGTGAGATCTATATAAAGCATATTGTTTCATCCAACAGAAGTTCTATTGTTTTAGTATACGTCCAGAAATGCACCGAGTGCTTCAATATTCCATTTTCTGCCCATATAACAAACACGTGATAGCGCAATTGCGACAAATGCGTTTCTGTCAGAAGTGACAGTGGGATTATCTTAGTAAATCACACATTATCAATAAGTCATACATAGAATTTCTGACTCTACTGACAGAATATATTGAAAGGTCCGCGTATAAAAGTTTTGTTTTGTTTTTGTTTTGTTTTTTTGTTATTGGTATTTTAATCTTTTAAGATGTATAAGTTTGTAAATCTGATAGAATGCGTCTGTAATGCGTACAGTTAAAACATGGATGAACTTTTCACTAACAGCCTGTAATGGCGAGTATAAACAACTTCCCTTGTCCGATATGAGAGAGTGAAGATATAACGTGACCACGCTCTGTTGATCAGAGGCCTCGCTGCACGTGATTCATTAACACTAGAACATGATGATTTTAAACATGAAAGCTGTTAAAGAGACACATTTTTTGTCTCTTTTTACCTTCACATGATAAATCGTCTGAAAAATATTTTTTTATCCTGCCTTGGATAATGATAATTACCTTTAACATTTTAAGGTATTCAGTATGGAGTGCATTAAGTACACCGTGTAGAGCTATGAGTCTACCTATATCTTACTGTAGGCTTGCAATCCCCAATACGGAAAGATGATTGCGATCCAGTGCTGTATCACCAATGGAGATGATCTCGACGGAGCCCGAATCCATGTATCTATTTTCCAGGGTGAAATGACTAAATAGGTATTGCCAGATGTATGTTAAAATGCTATCACAGTGTATATAATAGAACATATGTAAACTGCATCCCATTAAACCCGCTTCGAAATGCATCAACTTGAATAACACTTAAGCTCCGACGAAAGACCTACGGGTATATTACCTGTATTTCATTTGAGATTCGTTTTCAGGACATGCTTGTGTGTTACTGTATATCAATTTGTTACCAGTATATGAATAGAGTCGGGATTTATCGTACGTCCTGGAAATAAAAGGACTGATTTACTATATACCGTACATCAGTAAGGTCCGATCTCTTCCGATATCTAAATCACCAACGTTGTTAACGAAACTATGTCTTTATGTGACATTGACAAGTGAAGGTGTATATATTTCGGATAAGAATTCATTCCGCTTTCCTGTTATCTAATCACTTATACCGGAACAGATTCATAAACTTCACAAGAAAATCTACAAATTATACATTTTTACGGTGGAGAGATCGCTATTTGTGATTTATGCAAGTTAGGGTCCTACAGAATGCGAAAATATGCTTTCGTTAGACACTAATTGAAGCATTGTGATGGAGCACGTCTTGAAATAGCCAAGTAAAAATATCTTATTATTCACTCTTCTGTCACCAGCATAGTTTAGAAAGGACGGCTGCTTTTTGTGTCTCAGAGGGTATGAAAGAATTTTACGGATAAATAAAAACAAAACAATGATGTGCTCAAATAAAATATTCATATTGCAGATTTTCGTATTTTTTATGATAAACCGTCAGCTGCTGTGCGAGACAAAATCATGTAGAAAACAGATTATATTTATTATGAAGAAACACGTTGAGAAGAGTTCACTGGTATGGGTGGCCCTTAGACACAGATAACACTTCATAGTGGACACAATCAGGCATCGGATACGTTCATCTTCATTGAGGAAACGGCGTGAACGTGCCCTTTCGCCTTTAATTCCAATTTATCAGTAGAGAAATGGTTAAATGATGCATTGTAATTTCCAAAAGCACGCGATAATAACAAAAACGATATTTCAATGATGTTTGCCATAACGGAAAAATCTTGTGTTGTGTTTCACAGGGTCCTATACAGCTTTGCTTTGTACTATACCATAGTTTTCGAAATATATCTTATCGAGAAACTGTAGCTCATCAAGTCCCAGCATAAGACAGTCTACGGAACTGATAGTAAAATTTGCCTCCCACCTGGAACCCGTGACCTCCAGGTCATCGGTGACGTCAACGTTGGAGCAATATACTCTAACCATTTCAGTTATACGTTTAAAATGGAGCACTTCTTCAAAAAAGTATTCGCCCGCGTTTCCGATTTTTTTCCAGAAATCGCTATGTAATTCATCATAAAGAGCATAATCAGCACTGTTCCACCTCTTTAATCGAGCGAGATCCTGGACCGATAACGTATACTTTTGATTATTCCACCGACTGTTCTTGGGGTGGTAGAGGATATCTTTGTAAGACCAACACAGTTTTCTTTTAAGATAAATCAATGATTCGTCAAAGTATTCTAGAAGCATGATGAAATCAAAGTCTCGTCGAACGATGTCAACATAATCCTGAATTGCTGATGCATTACCAATGGCTTCTACCGGAAGGCCTAAATCCACGCTCTGTCTATTATTGGTGTAGGAGATATATGGAATAACTGGCTCATAATCCTCTGGGGATTTTAGATATTCTGATATAGGGTTGTCAGCTTCAATAGATAAAATGGTTTGTATGTAGCTAAATTCAGAATATCCGTAATATCGAATCACCGACAAAAAGTGATCCAGAGGTTCACGTACGATAGCCAGATAGAAAAAGCGTTTCGTTGGGAAGAGACGGGTGAAGGTTGCGCTATTGTAAATCACGTGATTGCACATAATATTGTAGTGTTCCCCCGGGGGTACGGGTAGGATATTTTCGGTGGTAACTGAGTCGCCCGGGTCACCTATGTAATTGTATCGGAGTTCATGTAATGTTTTATTCGGAAGGACAAAATTAAGTTTCCGGAATGAACCGAACCGTTGTAAAATGTTGGATACTGTTGAGCTTCCGGCTTTGTGAACTTTGATAAATATAACATCCGTTTGTTCTGAACATCTATTGAATTCTTTGGATCTGTTAACATCCTTCACGACCTTCACCTGTCTTAACCGGAGCTGATGTTCTATCCGAGAGGGGGCGCTGTGATCTCGGCGATGTGTAGCCTGTGAAGTTGTCAACCAATCAGAATGCCAAAGAGCGAAGATTGACAGGATGATGAAAATTGGCCCTAAAACGAGGATATACCTGTAGAATAAAAGTCGAAGTATGATCATGTTGTTTGAGAATTCGTGAAAATGTAACAAAAGAACATGCAACACTTTTTCCAATAGTCTTTCACTGTCTTGTACGTTGTAAGGAGGGAACATTTTAAGATGCGGCGACGAAGCAGAATTTCGACATTTAACCCGGTTCCTTTAATCCCAAGGAGAAGAAAACATCTGTAATGGAGATCTCATCAGTATCCATGCGAATTGTACGAAAGAACATCGAATTTATGTAATATTGATCTGAAATCGATGTATGAAAGTTTTTTTTTTATTTTTATTTTTCTGCTAGGCAAGAGCTCATCATCAGATGATGCAATAATTAGCTGAGCGGTTTAAATGTTGGCCTGTGTTTAATGTGATAGTGATGTGACTATGTGTAAATGATTCACGAGGGGAAAAAAGCTCAAAAATACGAGATCAATACATAGAAATTCAATACAAATCTGTTCGGGTGTTTACATTACACCATGAGGGAACTTGGGCGTATTTACAAATCTCCAATGTTTCATTGTAATATTGATACAATTTACATAAAAAAAAATGGTACCAGTCTCGGTAACTCCAGGTGTGACTATTATTTTCCATTTTGCACTCCGATAACATTGCCTGAGAGGACATCCGTTGTTTAATGCAAACTCGAGACCCGAAGTTGAAAGAGCAATCAATGCTGAGACACGTATTTTATTTAACAGTGTCATGTACATGACTGAAGGTGCTTGAAGGAAAAAAATGAAATTAAGAAATATTTAATTTTTTTTGTCGAATATTCTGAAATATCAAATGTACATAGCTTATAGTCCTTTTATCAATGTTGACAAACTCGTGTTACATGCAAACTCGCCAAAAATTGAAAAATCGATATTTGAATATCCGGATATTTACTTACTTTCCGGACCAAAGTACCTCATAACCAACATTTGACTGTTACATGTCCCCGTTATAACCAGAGATAAAAAAAAATAAACACTCCAACATGATAATGTTTCTGCTTAGTAAGAAAATTAAATCATATTTCACCATCAAAGACACATATTTTTGTATAAAGTTGCGCTCAGTCCTCGTTGTTTGTCGGGTCGAACTTACGATTACCGACCAATGGTTTGGTAATGAGAACACTAGATCTACCTTAAAGTCTTACCTTGCACGTGTCATCTGTAAGGCAGCCGAACAACTTGTATGTGGCAGTGTTGGTCTTATCGACAGATTTTATACCATCACCTGTATCAATCATTCTTATTATTACCGTCCAAATTCTGAGATAAAAATTTGTCACCAAACTCCACAACATAAATATTTCGTCTGTTAATGACCATATCCTGGTCAGTGAATCACTGACCGCTAGGACGTATGGTGCCAAGTTTGTTCTGTTTTGTCATTTAATCTCCCCATTCTATGGTCCTGATAGGAGCTACAGTTCACGTTAAGGAAGAACAAACACCCCTTACCTGTTGGAGGTCACAAATGTAGAGTCAAGGTCAACATTGAGTGTACTCCGTTAGATAAGTCAAGGTAAACCAGCATTACACACCTTATAATATTATGATTATGTAACCACGACAACCATTCTGCTTGTGCTGATGGTCATCACATACCATGTCATTCAGAAGTTAGTTACCATTTCCCAGTTATTGGCAGAATCTAACTTTCTAATTAATTAAATAGTAAACTCATAATCTTGTTGTCATTTTAATCTGTTTGAATCCGCTTTTGAAATTTTTTTTTTCATCCCTCCAATCCACTAAAATTATGTTTTCTCAATAAAATTAAGAAATAGGAATTGTTTAGATAATAAGCAAATGTTTAAATTCGACACTTAGTAAAAATGAAAAAACTGAATAGGAAGCTTTATTCTATGTTATTGAATTACGACATTCGGTAACCGGGTATGGAGGCAGTCTGGCTATCTAGATATAGGCAGACTCTAGGTAACTGGACAATGGGCTTCCGTTGATCTAGATGTGGAGATGACAAAACCGGATATCTGTGCACGAGGACAATCGATTGTTTGCAGTAATTGTATCCGCTTAAGCTACATGATGTACCATCCACGAACCAAGAACTTGCCAAAAAATGCAGAGACGACAGAGTTATTGCCCCTAGCGACCGTCAGTTTTCCAAATATATAAAATCAGCAAGTGATGTATTGTTGTTAGGGATCATTTATTCATACCTGGACTTAGATAAACCTGTTACAAGGGAGTGCACCCCGGTATCTTAGTCATAGGTGTCCATATTGTCTGACAAGGGAGTTTACCCCTGTACCCATCAAAGGTGTTCATGATGTGTGACAAGGGAGTTTACCCCGGTATCCCAACAAATATGTTCACGCTGTAAAACGAGGGAGTTTACCCCTGTATCCCATCAAAGGTGTTCACGCTGTCTGACAAGGGAGTTTACCCCTTATCCCATCAAAGGTGTTCATACTGTCTGACAAGGGAGTTTACCCCTGTATCCCATCAAAGGTGTTCACGCTGTCTGACAAGGGAGTTTACCCCGGTATCCCATCAAAGGTGTTCATACTGTCTGACAAGGGAGTTTACCCCTGTATCCCATCAAAGGTGTTCACGCTGTCTGACAAGAGAGTTTACCCCGGTATCCCAAAGGTGTTCATACTGTAAAACAAGGGAGTTTACCCCTGTATCCCATCAAAGGTGTTCACGCTGTCTGACAAGAGAGTTTACCCCGGTATCCCATCAAAGGTGTTCATACTGTAAAACGAGGGAGTTTACCCCTGTATCCCATCAAAGGTGTTCACGCTGTCTGACAAGGGAGTTTACCCCTGTATCCCATCAAAGGTGTTCATACTGTCTGACAAGGGAGTTTACCCCTGTATCCCATCAAAGGTGTTCACGCTGTCTGACAAGGGAGTTTACCCCTGTATCCCATCAAAGGTGTTCATACTGTCTGACAAGGGAGTTTACCCCTGTATCCCATCAAAGGTGTTCACGCTGTCTGACAAGGGAGTTTACCCCGGTATCCCATCAAAGGTGTTCACGCTGTCTGACAAAGGAGTTTACACCTGTATCCCATCAATGGTGTTCATACTGTAAAACGAGGGAGTTTACCCCTGTATCCCATCTAAGGTGTTCATACTGTCTGACAAGGGAGTTTACCCCTGTATCCCATCAAATGTGTTCATACCTGTATGCCATCCAAATGAGCATTGACTCTTAATTACTTCATATGCACTTTGAGAATTCCTCTTAAGAAATAGCAATAATATATCTCAAATAAAAACCTGTCGTCTGTTAGCATTTATGTTTTAAAAAGAGCAGTGACAAAGTTCAGTTGACATATAAAATCTTATAAACATCAATCCTGTCCTTTTTCAAGAAATAGCGATAAAAAAACTTTCCATGTCAAAATTTAAGATGCCCACTAGACAGCCATTTTATTTCTCTAATCAGTCCCAATATCAAAAGAGTACAACTAGGGACCAAAGGAAATATACATATTCATATATATACACATATATATTAAGAAAGAACCACCACGTTCTTCTCAAGAAAGTGCAATAACAAACTTTCATTGTCAAAATCCAAGATGGCTGTCTGGCAGCCATTTCGTTTTCAGTTTTCAGTACTTTTCCAGGAACAGTTCATGACGTAGGACCAAGGACACAGTGTATTTTGAACAGAGCGAAGAAAGTCGAATTGTTGCCAGGGTGACTGAATCCACCACTAACTCTGACCAACTTCCTTTCCACTTAAAAATAGCATGGGATACTGTATTAGGAAGTATAGAGAAAAGTTCACCAAACAACAGGTAAAAGTCAAAACCTTCGCAACACACTGATATAGGTAACCATGTTAATCTTCAAAACATGAGATTGTTTGAATGAAAGCTTTTGACCATTTTTCTTATGCAAGAAAATATAAATACATTAATTTTGAGGCATTTTGAAGTTGTCCCGTGTATCGTTTAAGGAAATATATCACTGAGCAACAGGTTGGAAATCTAATACCTGTCGTCTAGAGCACCATCTTACGATGAATTGCATTAAAAAGACACATGAGAGCTGAATGATAAGTTGTGAGCCCCATATTTAAGGGTTTGAAGTTTGGCGGACATCTTGCATTATTTTTTAATCCCCTTCAGTATCTATACACTTTGGCAGCGATGTATAAGGGCCTCAGCTGCACTTTGAAAGAAGTCCTTTTCTTGACCGTTCAGAAAGTCCTCCACTGCATATATAACGTCATCATCTGACCGAAGGTTGGTGGTACCGGCAATGACCTTTTTCAATTTTGGAAATATATGAAAGTGTGATGGAGCAAGATCAGGAGAAAAGGGAGATGCTCAATCAATTCAAAGCCACAGTCGTTAATGGCAACCATGGCAATGACAGTCTTGTGAACAGTGGCATTGTCCTGGTGGAACAACACATGTTTACTGAGTTTTCCGTGGCGCTTGAGTTTGATATTTTCTTCCTAAGAGATGATGCATAATATGTGTCGTTGATTGTTTTTCCCTTCTGCAGATAATCTGCCAATAGAATACCATCAGCATCCTAGAAAACCGATGTTATAAGCTTTTCAGCTGTTTGAACAGTCTTTGACTTCTTTGGCGGGGCGACCCAAGATGTCTCCATTGTTTAGGCTGTTGTTTGGCCTATGGGGTAAAATGATGAACCCACGTTTCATCAAAAGCCACGAACCTCTGTAGAAAGTAAGCAGGATGTACCTCTAAAAGGTTCAGATTAGCACGCTACAAAGTCCGCCTCGTGTACTTCTGGTCAATGTCAGAAATCTTGGAACCCAACGGGCTTTGAGCTTTCTCATTGCAAGATCTTCCGTAAGAATGGAATGTACTCTTCCCTGTAAAATCCTAATTGTACTAGCTATATAACTCTCTGTATCCTGCCTGTCAGTCATAACAATATCATGGACTCTATTGGCCATTTCTGGGGTTGTAGAAGGACGTGCGTCATCCTCAAGACTCTCCCTGCCACGCTTAATTTCCGCCACCCGTCTTTTTCATTTTAGGATATGAATGGACATCATTCC